ATTCTCAGAATAGGAAAGCATTCACTCTATTACAAAATATGCATCTAATTCTCAGTTATCTGAAATAACCTCTCCCCAGCCCTCAAGTTTTAACATTGGATTTATAAAAATAGCATATTTTTTTCATGTGTCATGTATTAGTTTCTTAACTTTTCCATTTGAGATGCACTACCTTCATTTTTACTGAGACTTTTTAATCAAAATAGGTGAAGCACTCTCTACTTGGTTTATATGACATTACCAGTGCTCTTGTTTATGTGAATTCAAATTACCCTCTGGGGTCACTGCTTTTGGTGAAAAAATTAAGGTGTGTGTGCCAAAAACAAACTCTCTCAGTTTTTTTTTTCAGTTACTTGAAAAATTTTATTCTGGCCAAAATTTATATCCTCCTACCATCCTAAGTTTTTGTTTATTGGGTAATGTCTTTGTTTTGTCTTCTTCTTTTTTTCTTTTTAAAAGATAGCTTTGGTATATTAGATTCTTGATTGACAGGTTTTTTTCTTTGTATTTGGATTATGTTATCCCACTGCTTTTTGCCCTCCACTGTTGTTAATGAGAAGTAAATTGCTAATCTTTATTGAATTTCTTACAAATGGAAAGTCTTTTTTCTCTTGCCACTTTCAAGATTTTCACCTTGTATTTGCCTTTCAGCCTTTTTTTTTTTTTCTTCAAACCATCACATATCTATTTGTGGATTTCTTTGTGGAATTTGTGGAGCTTCTTGAATGTGTAGATTAGTGTTTTCAATAAATTAGGAATGATTTCAACCATTATATCTTCACATATTTTTTCTTTCTCCTTTTCCGATATTGCTCTTACATATATCTTGATGTACTTAATGGCATTCCACATTTCTTGAGGCTCTGTTCATTTTTCTTCATTCTTTTTTTTTCTCTTTGTTCTTTGGCTTGCAAAGTCTCTGTCAACTTCAGGTTTGTAAATTGTTCTGCAAGAAGTTGGGCTTCTTTAGTTAATTTTTCATTTCAATTGTACTTTTTAAGTCCAGAATTTTTATCTGGTTCTTTAAAAGTTTGTATCTCTTTATTGATACTAGCTATTTGATGTAACATTGTCAGCATATCTTCCTTTATTTTGTAAACCATGGTTTCCACTAGTTATTTGAACATACTATATTTATAACTACTTGAAGTCTCCATTAACTGTTAAATCCAACATCTGTCACTCTCACAGGCAATTTGTATTGCTGGCTTCACCCCACCTCCCGCCCCACCCCAGTGTGTAAGTCATGTTTTTGTGTTTCTTTGTATGTCTCATACATTTTGTTGGAAATTGGACATTTTAGATAGTTTAGGATAGCAATTCTGGGTTCTGGTTCCCCCCCTTCCATTTACTTGATTGCTTGTTTAGTGCCTTTTATTTCAGTGAAGTCTATTTTGCACAAACACATGGAGTGTTAAACCTTTGATGTTGCTTCTCAACCAAGGGTGCACAGCCTTGAGTGTGCCCAGCTGTCCTGGATGACAGTGCATTGACAGGGTTTCTTTTTGGCTATCTTTCCCCCTGATCACACCTAGCTGTTAAGCTTCACAACTTGTAGGATAATTTCTCTGTTGTTTTCAACAATGCTCTAGGGCATCCGTTGTTCCAGAGACTAAACCAATCAAGTTCTAGCTTCTTTGAAGGAATAGTTCCTGAGATCAGTGTTCGATATTTGTTATTATTCTAGGAGAGCTACTCCCAGCACCCTGCTCCCACCCCAAGTTCTCTACTGTAAGCTAACAGTCTTCAGTTTAGCCTCTGTCTTCAACAAATCTACCAATATCCTCTTATTTCTCACCACAGTCTTCACTGTTTTTGAATACACCATTATGCGCGAACTTGTCCATGTTCTTTGGCAAACAAAGTCAGTTTCTTTGGGAAGAGGCTAGGAGCCATCTGTTTTATAGCCTGCTTCCTCCTCTAGAAGAATCTCTGGGCCAGGGCTCTGGAACTGGGAAGTGGTATATGGACAGTGATGTGCTTCTATCTGAGTTATACCCCACCTTAGGAACGGAGCAGGAGGCGGAGGTGGGTGCAGTGACTTCAGGTCTTCTTGACGTGGAACCACTGTCTCATGAGCCGGGGTGAGGGTGATCGGGGACTCGGAGCTCCCAGTGGCTTTGTGACCAAGGTAGAGCCTGTGTCCCAGTGGGAACCAGATGGGAGGAGGCAGCCTCACCTCCTGGCCTGGTCACTCTTGCTCAGAACTTAAGTCTCAGCAACGGGTGTCTGGCAACACGATGAGAAATGCTGGCATCCTGCCCTCTGGGAGAACAGCCTACATGCTGGGGGCAGAGCGAGATTTGTGTTCAGGGCCGCGTAAGTCTGGAGTGGGGTTTCTGTGCCACTGAGCCGGAAGGGGGAAGGGAGTGGGTATGATTAAAAAAAGACTATCACTGTTACTATATCTTTGTTGACTTATAAAAAAATATGTATGTGCTGCAGTGCCCTTAGGATCATTTCTGGAGACTCAATAATTGTTTCTTAGATAGTTTTTACTGGGAGCCCCTCTGCAGAAGTCCTCATCCTGTGATCCTGGAAGTCTACCCCCCACCAACTTGCTTTTTCACTTTTGTCAAAAGTCATTGTACCATACACGTACAGTCAGTTTCTGGACTCTATGACTGTTCCAGTGATCTGTTTGTCCATCTTGATGCCAATGCCACATTCTCCAAATTACGGTAAATTTATAATAAACTTCGAAGTGAGAGAGAACAAGTCCTCCAGCGTTTTTTTTTTCAAAATGGTTTTGGCTACTCTAGGTCCTTTGCAGTCCCATCTAAATTTTAGAGGAAACTTGTTAAAACTTGCTAGGTTTTAAAATTGTGGTTGAATTGGATTGTATGCCTATTGTCAACAATCTGGGACTGTATAGGGGGTGACAGGAAGGTTCAAGAGGGAGGGGACATACGTATATACTTATGGCCAATTAATGTTGTTGTATGGCAGAAGCCAACACAGTATTGTAAAGTAGTATCCTCCAATTAAAAATAAATTTAAAAAAAATTTTAAAAAATCAATCTAAAAAAGAAATGACAAATTTTATTCAAGCCAAATTCAGGATTATAACCCAGGAACAACCTCTCAGCTCTGAGATCTATTTTGCCCATCAGAGGTCAGAGCATAGGAATATGGGCTTTTCAGACAGAGGAAAGTGAAAAGTGAAAGTGTTAGTCACTCAGTTGTGTCCGACTCTTTTTTGACCCCATGGGCTGTGGCCCTCCAGGCTCCTAATCCCACGGGATTCTCCAGGCAAGAACACTGGAGTGGGTTGCCACGCCCTTCTCCAGGGGATCTTCCCAACCTAGGGATCAAACCCGCGTCTCCTGCACTGTAGGCGGATTCTTTACCCACTGAGCCACCTGGGAAGCCCTGATGAAAGTATTAAAGACTCTAATAAAAATTTCAGAAGTGGGGTGGAGGTTTTTAAGGGGAAAATGGTTTTGAGGAGTGCTTGTCCTTTAACATAGTTGTCTGAGAAAGGTAAGTGATGAGGCTAAAGCGCTTCCTTTACTGTCGAGGGGAAGAACATGCTGATTGTGATCACCCCCTTTGTCAGAATAATGAACTTGCCAGTGAGCTCTAAATTCAGGGCACATAGACAAATGATAGAGTTCAACTTTTACTTAATTAGAAGTGTTTAAAAACCACAACTCTGTGCTGTCCCTAATACATGTTTAAATACAAAACATTTCAAATTTAGCACAAATGATATGGGCTAATGTGTAACTGGACTTGGATAAAGTCATATGAACCAAATGGTCCCTTTTCAGTGTTTGAAAGGAAAGGGTGTTTGTACAAAGTCATGGGGGTGAGGTCCCAAGCTTTGGGCTCAGAGCAGGCTGAACAGGTGTGGCAGGCAGCTCGGCGGCGGGGGCAGAGTGGGTCCCGTTCAACACCCCGAAGCTGACTTTGCGAACGCTCTCCTTTCTAGCACTTAGAAAAGGTTTTTCTCTGCTGCTGGGAAGCAGGGAGTGGGACTGCGTCAAGTGATTATCTGGGAGCAGCCAGGCATAAGCTCAGATGCTCTGGGAGGTGGGGGGTGGTGTGGACAGATTCTTCTTCCTTTCGTGGATGGGGGAAGAGCGTGCTTGGTGACATTTTTCTGAGTATGAAAGGAAGAATACAGGTGTGAGTAATGATAATTGTATGTTAAAAACAGAGCCACACTGATATTGAAAAAACAGTAAAAAGGCATTGTAAACACACTTTTATTTAAAATTCAGATTTCTGAAACAACTGTACAACACCTAAGAATGGCATCGTAGGTCTTTAGCTAAATAAGACATAGCATGAAAATAATAGTAATTTTAACTTTTGAAGGTTCTTTTTTTTTTTGAAGGTTCTTTTAAAAGCACCACTTAAAACGTACATATTCCCCCCAAAATGAAATACAGAAAAATTGTTCTATCTCAGGAATGAGTTTGAGAATGCACAAGGAAAGAAGAGAGACAGTTTTTTAACCCCTGGTTATTGATGGAGGGCGGTGCTAAATTCAAGAGGATTTTGAGATTTTCCTACGTTGTTCATTTAAAGGTCAACTGGTACAGAGCTCTCAAGAATTTCTGGGTAAATAAGGGCTACAGCTTTTCATAAATATGATCACTGGCCAGGTTTCTAAAATCATCACCCCCCCAAAAGTATAGGATTGACAAGTATCTTTCTGTTTTTAGAAATTCTGAGAAAAGACCACAAGTGCAGCACATCAAAAAACAAAAACAAAAACTGGAACTAATTTTAATAATCTCTGAAAACTTGTAAGTTCTAGATTTATTTTGAAACCAACTTCCAAACAAGACAGAAGAAAACCCAGACGAATGTATATTACACCGCCGAAGCCGCTTAAACCTGCCGGGATGTCGCTGTGCTCCTTCCTTCGTGGAGCCTCGGGTGACTGTCCGCCATCAGGACGGAGGCCCTGCTGTAAACCCGTCCTGGTGTCTCCGCACCACCCCAGGCCTGGGCACTGGGAGGGTCTCGCTGGGCCCCGGGCCCCCACCTCACCGCTTGCTGGACCGTGTCTGCGACTTCTCATGGCTACCCCGCTTCCCCCGCTTCCCGGGCGGTGAGTGCCGGGCGTGGACGCTGTGCTTGTACGGGTGAGACCGGTGCTTCTGGCGCCCTTCCTCCTTCTGGCTCTGGCTTTTCGCCGGTTCCTTGCTGCCCTCTTTTTGTTCGTGGTCTTGCTCTTTGTGGGAGGGCAGTGTGTTCTTAATTGTGTTAATTAGAAATCTTTTATTTGTCCCGGCAAGAGGACACTTCATCCTGGGGGCAAAGAGAGAACAACCACAAATCAAATGTGGACTCCGGAGCCGAACCCTCCCATCAGGGCCTGTGCCAAAGAATCTTGCTTCCCTGGAGTCAAGTTTCTGAATTTGTTCAGCTTTCCTTGCATGCCACCTAGTGTAAACTGCGAGTACAAGGGGGAAAACCCAGGACACTGAGAATTCCCAGACGGACTGGCTGGACCCTGTCTGAAGACCTTGACCCTGTCTTCCTGGCTGGGACTAATTAAGCCAAGGAGTACCACAATGTGTGTACAGGTACAGACCACAACACACATCACCTGAGTCATTTAATTCCTTTTTTTAATACCTGAGTCATTTATCTCCTTTACCATAAATGCCTGACTTGACTAGGCATTAACTCAAAATGCAGATTTATGTTTATGGTGGCCTGCTTTTAAATATCAAAGAATAAGGGTAAGTACCCCCCTGAGGAACAAAAAAAGTATCTCCTGCTATACCCTGAATATTGGGCCTACATGATCTACTCTAGAAATAAAAAAATAATAATCTATAAGGAGTCTATTAAAATGCAATAACCACCTTTTACCCTCTGAAAAACTCAGTCTCTAATTGAGGACTTTCTGTTTCAAAGCCCTGCTCTGCCAGGGAGCTATGGCCACACCTCTCCCCTCCAGGCGAATTTCTGGGCCATGTACATTTCAGGGGCTTCAAGATTCAAGTTCACCCAGGAGGAAGGATGTCACTGATCAGATCGTTAATTTACATGTTGATACATATTTACATACGCAGTATTTGTTTTTCAGGTATAGCCAATCTTTCATTTGGCTACACAAATGAAAACTGCACACAGTGAAAACTTGAATCTCTCCTTGGCCTTGAGCTCTGGTCTGTAACGTGGTAATTAATTTTGCTGAATCTCATCGCCAGTTGTTCTTCAACGAACTCATACAACACGGTGCACACACGTGCTCTGGGGTCACACTGTCTACCAGACTGGACCTTGGGCATGTCAGATCATCTCCTGTTGCCCATCCTCTGTTAAACGGGGACCATCATAGTGAATGAGTTAGACGGCAGGTTGATGGAGGCTGGATGTGCGCACACAACAATGCCTCGTAGGTAACAGGCACTCAGCAGAGGTTTGCTCTGGTGCATACCCTAGCCCTTCGGCTTCACTGGCTTTGGGATCCTGAGAGTTACCTGATGCCTCTGTGCTTCAGTTTTCTATTTGTTAAAAGAATTATCCATCTACTGCAGGAGTTGAATGAGATAACCCATGGAACACTTAGCATAGGGCCTGGCATAGAGCAAATTCCTGATAAATGGTACCTGTGGATCTATGATTTCTTATGCATGATTCCAAAATTTGAAAACCAAGTTCCTTTTTTGGACACAACTTGTTTGGCAGTCAGACCTGACCTAATCTGACGCTGGGCACTTATTTCTAGTCTGCGTCCCCTCTGGGGTAACATTCATATGCTTTGTTGGGGAGATGACTGTGTGTTGAACACATACCGTGGGGGTACTTGTCGTGCACACTGTCTGTGCTATGTATCTTTCTAAGAAACTTATCTGGATCTGAGGGCTTTAAACAAGGGACTGTGGACCCTTCTTATTACTATTCATTATAGTAATAATGTAATGTTATTACTGTTCATTCTCCTTTCATGAAAGAGAATATATATGGCACTCAAGTTCATATATTCAGGATTTGTCCAGGATGGAAACTCAAGATCACTAAGTCTCAAATCACCTGAGATAGTAAGTTAATCAAGAACACAGCAGAATATCTGATGTCTCTTAATGAAAAAAAATTATTAAAAAAAACCCCTGCGCCATCAAGAAAAAAATAAGATATTTTACAGAAATGTTCATAAAAATGGTTACAATTTTAAAGTTTTGGTGCTGAAAATAGTTAAGTTTCTATATCTGCAAGCTTCACTCTCCAGGACACCTCAATTCTCCACTGATGTCAGAGCCAGTGGGCTAGTGGCCATTACCTCTGAGCTTATTATCTGCATTTCCTAATGACCCGTAAACTCTGTCTGTAGGCGCTCCTCAGATACAGTAACACCAGAGGCTGGAGTAATGTGTGATCTCAAAGGGCCCTTCCTGTTTGGAGTGTCTCATGTTCTCTACGTTTGTTGACCCTTTGGAAAATGATCCTTTTCTCCTTCACCACATTAGGAAATTATTTCATGGCTCTCTGACTTCTTGTCTCTCAGCTCTCTCTTAGTGCCACTTTTTTCTGTATTTGAGATGACACGATAAGCTAGTGTTAGATCCTGAAGCCTGTTCCACATCAGCATTGTGGGGAAAGCCTGCGCCCTGGGGAGCAGGCCTGGCTGCTGGGCACGTCTGCAGCGGCTCTGTCACTGGCTGTGCCCGGGACGAAGGGTGGGGGCTGCGGGGTGTGCAGCTGCTTTCCTGGGGAGCTCTGACCCACACAATGTCAACCTTCTTACCCTGGCTGGTTACTCTTATTTTTGGTTTTAGAAATTTATGCTAGCTCATGTGGGGAGAGCCAAATTTAAGGTGCTAACAACATAAATGGATATGAAATTCTATAAACAGAATGAGATGCGTTAAAACTGCTTTAGGAAGTACCCATGAGAGCACCGTCAGACTCAAGACCTGGCATTCTATCCACGTTAAACCAAAAAGTGAAGCAACTTCCTTCTGCTTTCAAAGCTGTTGACGCAGAGCCTGAGAGAAGGGGTCTCGCCTGCCCTGGCAGAGACTGAGATGGACCGAGGCCAGGAGTGTCAGCTCTTCAGCCTTCTCTCCCCATTTCCCAAGCAGGCGTGCTGTGTAACGTCCTTCACAAAAATGGGGCACTTTCTCCTGGCAGTTATCAGACTCCACTCATGAGAAACAGTCAACTGTTTTTCACAATTGTTTTGTTTTGTTTTTCACGACCGGCTTGTTTCAAACAAGCACAGAGAACAGCAGGAGGAACATAAATGTAGTGTTTTTTTTTTCCCTTTCTGATTTCAATACTTTGGACAGAGGTAGTAATATCTAACACTCTGCAGACGCAGAGCTGCCACATCAGTTTCTAAAACACTTTCATGAATGTGACCCATGGAATAGTGGTACGTGACCACTCGCCAGTGAGAACCAGGAGGGTGGTGACCATGCTGACGGGCAGTTCCTGTCACCAGCGTCGCCTCCTTCCATCTGTCCCACCATCGCCCCTCTGACAGATGCACAGGAGGCCACGTGCTTATGGGTCCCGAGCTGGGAGGGCGTGGAGCTGGGACGGGAACCAGGACTCTGACTCCAGAGTCCGTCCTCCCTTCGGGACAGATGCACAGAAGCATATAGTACGAGGCGTCGGGTGGGCTTGGGACGCCGGCCGTGCAGGAGCCCAGGTGAATCTGACACAGACAAGGACAGGGGCACAGAACGCCCTGCACACATGTGACTTGGAGATCTATGAATGCGTCAGGCCGTGGGGGATGATGGTGGTTCTTCCTGTTTAGGGAAGCAGAGCCTTGGGGTCAGGGAGGGGGCTCCATGCGTTGTACCCTGACTCATTCCTTCGTTTTGCTGCCAAAGGCCTTCCCATACAGGCACACAGCATTTTACCTTCCATTCTGCACTTTTCGTTGTATGCTTGCAGAGTAATTAAGGGTCAGCAGTGTAGCTATAGGGATTCTAACGCTCCACAAGAACTTCTCAGGCAGCTGAGGCATTTGATTGCCAGATTAGCTCCTGTGGCACTGTCGGCAGTTATGGTGACTGTGGCGCCTTAGACGAGCTGAGTTGTCACCAACCGCAGTCTCAAGATCCAGGATCACCAGGCTCCTTGGGCTGTGGGGACTGTAGCTGGGCTCCTTTCTGTGGCTGTTACCTCAGACGTACAGCCGAGAGTGTGCAAAGGAGCATGTAGAATGGAAAATAAAATGTTGTATGGGAAGGGCTTTGGCAGCAAAACAAAGGAATGGATCAGGGTATAATACATGGAGCCCGCTTCCCTGACCCCAAGGCTCTGCTTCCCTAAACAGAGGAAGACACACCATCATCTACTATGGCCTGATGCACTTCATAGGTCTCCAAGTCACGTGTGTCCAGGGTGTTCTGTGCCCCTGTCCGTGTCTGTGTCCGACTTACCTGGGCTCCCGCAGGGCCGGTGCCCCGAACCCACCCGACGCCACGTACCATCTGCCTCTGTGCATCTGTCCCGAAGGGAGCAGCCCTGGTGACCAGTGTGCTGACAGCTTTTCAGACCTGAGGTAGGTTTTCAATACACTCTGCCTCCAACACTACACCTAAAAGTAATGAAGAATAGCCGACACATATGTACATCTGTACCTACAGTATTTATTTCTAAAAATCTGAGGCTCCTTCATGTGTAAGGCATTATGCTAGGTCCTGTAGCAGAAGTACATCCCGGGCTGCCTGTGTTTGAGGCGATGGCCAGGCGGGACAGAGGTGGGCCAGGGAGAGGGTCAGAGCGCGGGTGTGAGGAGCGGGGCCCCTGGAACGTACGACTGGGCACAGCCCCTGGGCCCCTGCTCCCTCAGCCGCACAGGTGGTCTCCACCACTGTGTGAGCCGACAGTCGCTCCTTCCGGGCTCCCCACCCACTTTCCTAACTGGGCAGGAAGAGGGGTGAACGCGGGAGGCAGGGGCAGGATGCCCAGCGTCCTGTGCGCTAACATAACAACCACTGGGCCCTGGATAAGGGGGGGCAGTGCCAATCCCTAGGATGTTTAAATGAATAAAGACACTGTGCGGCTGGCTGAAGGCCGGGGAAATGATTCGCAGCTGATGTAAAGTATCAGAAAATGTAGGAGTGCTCACCCATGTTACCAGATTGACCCCAAGCCAAATAGAAAAGCACCCAAAATGTCATTCCCCTTAAAACAACTGCATTATGAAAACTGGAGAATCGTTTTCTGTCAAATCCAACCTTTGGGACTTTTTGTACCAAAGTATAAGCCTCTCCATGTCTAAGATGGAAGTTACCCAGGCACTGGACTCGATTATTATACTGGGCTAAGATCAGCCAAAGTGAATGTGACCGAATAAATACAGCTTTGTAGACCGTGAAGCTGCCGCAAATTTCTGAAATTTGTGCTTATAAATTCCATTATGTTGACTGAAAGGAAGTCACATGGGCCAATACTTCAGCTTCTCTAAGGCGTCTGTCAAGAACAGCTTCTCGAGATTCTTTTTGCTGAAACATGTCCAAGGAAGTACATAGCACCAAATGGTTTCTTTCTTTATGATATAAAAAAAGTTCATCCCACTTGCATTTTCTCTAGTTCAGCAATCTCTCTGGCAACGGCTCAACTGCCTCACTTGAGATCTCTCTTACGGAATATCCAAGAGGGAAAAAAAGACTGTCACTCGCTCTAGTTCTATTTTAAATTTTAGAGCAAATGTAAAAACCTTCTAAATGTTTAGAAAAGCAGACCACTGCCCACCAGTAGTTGACCAGTTGCTCCTTTTGGATATCTGCTAAAATGATTACATATATACAGATTGATCCACACTGGATCTTTGCATTTCATTATATCACTGCATCCATAAAAACATAAGAATGAATTTCTGAAAGATTAACAGCTTAAAAAAATAATAGCAGTACTATTATCACAGCTAAACAGAAGCCAACATTAATTCCTTGTATCATTATATACCTTTGTTTCAATGAGTCTGGGTAAGAATGCAGACAAGTTACACTTAGAGCTGTCTCAGATCTATTAATTCATGGGGTACTCCTCCTCCCTTTTGGCTGTGGAATTCATTTGTTAAAGAAATTGGTTTGTTTGTCCTGTAGAATTCCCCATATTTTTCATTTCTGTCCTTTTATCTCTATAGTCATTGAGTATGTTCCTCTGACCTCTACTTCCTGCCAACTAGTAGCTCTCACTAGAGACTTGATCAGATTCAGGTTCAGGTTCTTCACAAGGATGTCTCATAAGTGGTGGCATCCTCTTCCTATTGCACCTTTCTGTGGTATAAGGATCGATGGATGAGTCCAGTGTCATCATCCTGACCCACTCATCAGAAGGTTCCCCATCAGCTTCTCATCTGATAGGTTTAGCAAGTCATAGACAGAGCGTTGCCTAGATTCAGTCTATCATTGGTGACTGTAGAATAATGACATTCTTTTTATTTTTAAATCAGATTAAAAAAATAAAAATTTTAAATCATAAATTTATACATATGTCTTCTGTATAAGCAGACATATTTACTGTCTGCTTACACAGAATCACATTTACCTTTCAAGTAAATAGCATGATGAGTCTTGACGAATGTGTGTAGTCATGTTATGATCACAACAACCAAGATGCAGAACACTTCCATCACCCAGAAAAGCTGGGCAGTAAATGCAGTCCTTCGGCCCCCACCTCTTGGCAAGCAATGAGTGGTATTCTGTCCCTCCAGGTCTAGCTTTTTCTGGCTTTTCTCTGGGTCATATGAATGGAATCTTACATGGTGTCAGGTACTGAGTCTGGTTTCTTTCATGACCGCAGTGCATCTGAGACTCATCCATGCAGTGTGTATCAATAGCTCTGCTCCTTTGTGTTACTGACTAGTATGGAACGTATGGGCATCATCAGGGTGTGTCCACACATCAGCTGATGCGCATTTGGGCTATTTCCAGTTTTGAGCTATCATGAGTAAAACTGTCGTGGACATTACTGGACAGATTTGTGTGTGGGCTTACACTGTCAATCCTCTGGCCAGCAGTTAGAAGAATAATTCTGTGAGTGTGTATTGTAAGAAACTGCCAACTGTTTTCCAAGTGGCTGTTTGACTACATTTCTGCCAACAATGTGTGAGCATTCTGGTTGTTCTAGATCCTCCTCTTTACCTGCTGCTGTCTGTCTTTTTAAATTTTAGTCAGTCTAGTGCATTTGTAGTAAAAAACCATGGTTTTAATTTGCATTTTCCTAGTAACTGATTTGAACATCTTTTCATATGCTTATTGGTCAATTTGATATCATTTTTGGTGAAGTGTTTATTCAAATCTTTTGTCTATTCTTAAATTAGATTGTCTTATGATGGAGTTGTTAAGAATACAAATGATGATAATCTTATTCTATAGTCTTACATTTAACAGTTGCAATTCTATAAAGAAGTTTTCTTTCATCAGTTGTTATATAACTTTGATGTATAATTTGTACAAGCAACAGGATAAATACTTGATTCTTTCCCATTGCTTACCAGTTTTACAAACAATGATTTGGTTCCTTGGCATCATCCAAAAGGGACCACTGAGTTTCCTGATGTGATTATTGTTACGACCTTATGGATTGTGACATGTTTTAGGTATCTCAGCCAATATAGCTTTATTTTTTTGATGATTCAATTAGCAGGAGGCCTTTCAAGTTGGTTCCCAGTCTTTCTGATGTGACTACTGTAGTCTTTGAGAGTTTTACTTTCTGATATGATAGGGTTTTCTGGCTCAGCTTTATATGTGTCCTGACTGCACAGTAAACAGCGATCTTGTCCACAGAGTGGTCTGGAATTTGCCCTGGCTTCTGGGAGGTAATATCAATTCTGGGAGGCAATGATATACTTGATAGAATTGTCTCTGCTTGGGGTGGAGCTGGCCACACCTGACTGAGAGGACTGCCCATGCCAGAGAGACAGTCCACATGATTCAGGGTGGGGATCCGGGTTAGTGGGGCACTGGTGGGCCAGAGACTGAGATCAGTCATGTGAGCAATCTATCAATCATCCTACAGAGAGGAACTCCAGTAAAATCTTTGGACAGCTGAGGCTCAGGGTCGCTTCCCTGGTTGGCAGTATGCCAAGTACATTGTCACAGGTTGATGCTGGTCGTGGGGTCGGGGGGTTGTGGTAACTGTCCTGACTCCACGGGGGGCAGGCAATAGCAACTCTGTGTCTGGAACCTCCCCAGACCATGCCCACTGCATTTCTTACTTTGGCAGATTTTAATCTGTATCCTTTCCCTGTAATAAACTGTAACCGTAAGTATAATAGCTTTCTGTGAATTACATGAGGTTTTCTAGCAGATTACTGAGGCTGAGGGTTGCTCTGGGAACTCCCTGAATGTGCAGTTGGCGCAGGAAGTGCAGGTGGTGCTGGAGGCTGTGAGGAGGCTGTGACAGCGAGCGGGCTGCTCGGCTGACTCCAGGCACAGCCTCGGATCTGCAGCCACTTATTTCCCTAAGGACCTCTGGCTCGTGTCAGTGAGAGACGGCCTTATATACGGCACTGTGGTCTTACATGCCACCTCCAGGTGCTGGGGCTACTCACTGCCACTGAGTGGAAGGTCATTGTTTCTAGGGCTTTTTCTGTGGACAGAGTTACAAAAGCTTATCCCTCTCTCTCTTTTTAAAGTAACTTATTTATGGCTGTGCTGGGTGTTTGTCGCTACGTGCGGGCTTTCTCCAGTTGTGGCGAAACGGGGCTACTCTTGAGTTGCAGTGGCTCTCACTGCCATGGCTTCTGTTGTGGAACTTGGGTTCCAGGGTGACGGGCTTCAGGAGTTGTGGCTCCTGGGCTCTACAGAGTGGGCTCAGAGCTACAGTGCACCAGCTTAGCTACCCCATGGCACGTGGGCTGGGCCTGGGATCGAATCTGTGTCCTCTGCGTTGGCAGGTGGGATTCTTCACCACTGGGCCAACAGGTAAGCCCTTTCTCTCTCTTCTAAAGTGAAAATCTGGCACAACTTCACAATGGTATTACCAATTAAAATATAGGGTTATGGATTTTTATGTCTAATTTTATATTTGTAGCTTGTATACTAAAAACCTTAGTGTCTATAACAAATAAACATTAACTTACTTGCTTTATCCTACTATATAATATTTTCAGAATAACAGTATCAACATTATTACTAACGATGTGATGACTGGAGAAACAATTTAAAGTTTCCTTCTAGTTCTTTTCTGTCTTTTGGAAATACAGTCAAGTTTCACAGATCACCTGAAATAGTTCCTTTGTGTGTGGCTAAGCTGTCTACTATATGGCACATTTAGGTCCATTTATTTTATGTTGCTTGATATTTAGGAATTGCCTTTTCCCTTTGTTTCTCTGACTTTAACCTTAGTTTGCATTTGATGTAGGCCCTGTTCTTGTAAGAGTTAAATCCATAGGGACCTAACTTGTACTCCCATCCCATTCTTACATTTTACACTGTTTAACAGCCCAAAGTACTCCATTAGAAAGAATTTTAAGTTGTAGATAAAAGATCTAAGTCAGCATATTTATTGGATGCAAATGCTATTGCTAAAGTAACACTTAGAAGAATAGATGTGGTTCTTAAGGTTAAATTCTTCCTTTGTTAATATTAAGTTTTAACAAGCTCTATTTAGTAAAAAAAAAAAAAAAAACCCGCAAAGGTTAAACTTTTGTTCTACACAGCTGAATTGTCACAAAACCAAAATACTTAAAATTAGAATTTTTACAAGTAAATTTTAATTTATTGAGGACTATAGTCAAGTCAGAAATTCTTAAACAACGAACACTGAGGTAACATTACTCGCACTCTGGTGGCCTCAGGCACAGCAGGGTCGACCCATCTCTCGGGGACTTGTGGACCAGAAGGGGTTGACACCATGACAGGCGTTCTCGGTCCACACCCCTCTGCCCACTGTTCCACGGCCGCAGCCCTCAGCAGTGTTCTTCCTCCACCACCTGTCTCTGGGTGCTCTTCTCTACGCCCATGGTTCTACATGCCCTCTGCATGCTAACGCAAACTTTTCTCTTTAATGTGTATTTACATATCTTTAAATTTTTAGGACGATGACTCAAGTACTTACCAGCCCATGGGTCCCATTGTTTCTGCTCTTGTTTTCCCACGTTTTGCCTCTTTCAGCAGCTCTTCTATCGCTTTCCTGGTGGGGAAAAAAAGGAAGAAATTTGAGAGGTAGTCACCCCACTATATTCTGAAAATCTGTATATCCCACGTATGTGACCCTGGGAAAGGAACAGCTTTTGAGACATAAAATTTCAAAATTGGGGGACAAATTTTTTAAATGCTCTTAAATGGCTGATAGTTTTAAATATATAAAAATTAAAAAGAAATGGTTTCCATAAAGAGGAAAAACAATGAAGAAAAAATTAAAGGCATCACCCTTCCCTACCCACCAAAAAATTCAACTTCAACTCCTTTTTATCTGTTTCTCTGTATTTACCTCCAGGTTTCTAATAGTATTCTTTCAAACTGTTTCACCACCCTCTTAGTCCTCAGCAGATATATCTGGCTATTTTTATATTAATATAACTTACATATGTTTTAATACACTCCTATTAATAGTGAGATCTTCAGAAAATGTCATTTCAGCTAACTCAGCAGCTGGGTGCTTTCTGGTCCATCGTGGGAGGGCCCACTGATGGGTTGATAAAACAGAAACACTGACCAACTTGCCCACTTCTCACCCCTGGACTCAGATCAGGGGTCACAGCCCAGCCCCCCAGTGTCAGGAATATTAAGTACAGCTGGTCACCACACAACCTTCTTCCATCTCCTTAAAATAATAATATATCCTACTGATGTGATCTGTGGGATTTGCCTCATAGGGCATTTCAGGAAAAATTTATCCTGTCTGGCTCCAAAATAGAGATCCCTACTTCACCCTTATAGATGTAAGCAAAAAATAATAATCAAAGGGTAAAAATACTCCAAATACCCGCCTACCTTTCCATCAATTAGAGAGGTAGTTTTCAAAAAACCAACAAACAAAAACAATTAGGAAGTCAATCATCCTTGGATCCACACATGTCCTCCCTCCTGACAGCAGAAACACTGAAAATCTTCAGGGAGAGAACTTGCTTGAGCAGGTCCCCAGTCATGAACAAATGAACCAGGATGCATTCTCCCATAAAAACTGTTAAAATGTCTGCCTGGCTTTCTGTACACGCCTATGAAAGCCAGTTTGTGTGATCATACAGTTGAAATGCCGTCCATCTGCAGGAGACAATACTCAGTCAGGACCCTTGCCCAAATCCTGAAGGCCTATGCAGGCACTTTCAAGAGGATGCGGTTGGATGTGATTCTTCTGTAGTTGTCATTTCTCTTAAATCTGTCTCCAGCGCTATTGTTAACTTGATCTGTCACAATTAAGGATACCTTCTGATTTATGATAACAGTCCAAGAGAAAAGAAGGTATGAGTATGAGAAGGACTGCCTGGCATGGACCAGCTCACGAGTGGTGGGAGATGGTGACAGGTGGGCTGCACGCAGGCCCAGCAGGCTGCCTGTGACTGGGGTGGACCCAGTAATTGCAACATGGAACAACTCATGTTGCTAGGAGCTCTACAGTTTACAAAGTAGTGCCCTATCTGAACATGACTATGTAGTTATCAATACCAGTTTTCAGACAAGGAAGGAGGTAGTGGGGACACGGAGAGCAGGAGAAGGAACAGAAAACAACCAGCGTGTTTAAGGCTGCCTGCCTGCATCTTCTTGTACTTCCTGTCTCCTCCACAAACACTGGCATGGCAAGACCTGGAGAAGCCCTTTTCTCTTTACCATTAAAAGGCACAAAATAAGTGGAAAAGAAGACAAGGGATCTGGCAGAGCTGTCACTGCTTCACACTCATTCAGAGCTGGAGAGGGGGAGGAGGGGCCCGGGGGGCTCAGACTTGGTGCTGGGAATGCAGACCTTCTGTCGCCCCCACCCCTGACTCCTCACACGCTCCTGCTGCAGGGCTTTCCTTCCAAACAGGAAAATGACAGCTTCTAGCTGTCCTGTGTTTTGTCCTTGAAATAACATCACCTTCAAAATCAAGGAGGAAAAAAAAGTCAAGTGTTTTTCCTCACTCCTGTAGCCTCTGCTGTTTTCCCTGGAACTCCTGACTAATAAATTCCTGGGTGAGGAAATAACAGTCAGTTCCTACCGCACATTATCACAGAGGCCGGATACTTAAATGATCAAAGATGATGAAGCATCGGCATCATGAAACAAAATAGTTTTTAATGAGACTGTGAAGCACAACTGCAATTAAAATACAGGAAAAGCTAACAGTCAGGAGAATAGAGAAGAACTAAGTACCAGAAGGACTTGAACAATGAAATTTCAGACACAAATTTAAGTGCCATAATTTTTATACTTAGACCCTTTACACGTCCTAAAGGTTTCTCTGTAAAAAACAAATGAGAACAGACAGTGCAATGGCGACAAGAAGTCCAAGGAAGCCAGGTCATTAAGCAGACAGTTTTCTGGGCACAGGAACAAACTGCAGTCAATTTTCGATGATCCATGTGTGTATCATCCATGGCCAATTTCCATTCGAGGGTGGCTTCCTCAGGCCTGCCTGTTCATTCCATTAGCCAGCTGGTACACGCTTACAGAATGTAAACTGATCATAATAGCAGCTTAAATAAAACCCAAGTGGGGACGCAAATCTGGTGCAAAATCGTCTTAAAGTCCAAAGTCAAACAAATTAGTTTTGAGTTTTATCTGGGTCTGTGTTCCTTTTTACTCACATAACTCGACTGAATGTTAACTGTGTCAGTATAGACAAAGGGTAGTGAGATATTCAAGGCAACTACAAGAAACAATAGAAGTTAAATAATGAACACAAGAAAATGAGATTTTAAAAGAAGTAATACCGGAGAAGCTAAATATCATGTAATTGCTCAAACAAGACATCTGTACACACTTTCTTGAGAAATGGTCAAAGAAAGTGTTATGGACACAGACAAATGCTTGAGTAATCTGATTTAACATTACAAATGCTAGTCAGTCTCCAAGTATAACTAATGCTTATATTGAACAAAGTCAAGTCATGAGAACCTCCAGAACACTGACCTGAAATCCTGAGACAAGAGAACAAATGGAAACTTGGCTCGACTGGGAAACGATATTTCCTTATGGCAAAACCTACTGCATTCATGCTGATAAGAAGGTCTTGACATGTTCATGTGTCTTTTCTCTTTGGATCATTTGTGGCTCAAATCCTTCCTGGACTCTGAGGCAGTATCCGCTCTGAGGTCAACAGGGCACAGCCCCCCATCGCCACAGATCCCACTGTTTCTTCACTCGAGGACATGGGTCAGAACACAAGGAGGGTGTTTCCTGGGCTGGGAGCTGCCCCAGCAGGGGCCTTGCATGTGTCTGTGATACTTGCTGTGCAGGTTCAAAGAGACTCTCCTTTGAATATCAACATACTCGATAAGCTCTTAACATGCACCCCAGGAATATGATGAAAACTGACAGTGGACCATGTATCTTACACTTCACCCTCACGACTCCTCTAAGAGACTACTATTTCAGTGGTAAGGGGAAAATAAGACAAACTGGAGAAACTGGTGCTGGGATGTGAACCCAGGCAGCTGACTCTTAGCTGACTCCAACGCTAGCTGAGGTGTGGGAAGGCGAGACCCCAGCCTCACGCAGCTCAGCTGAGCGAGAGGAAGGAGAGGGGTGGCCACATGTGTCCTGTGCTCACAACAAGCACTGCTGCCATGAGGATGAGCTCCTGGCCCTTCACCTGGACCTGGACCTTCTCAAACGTCCACACCTCCCCGTCCAAGGAGACCTCTGAAGGTGGGGTGTTATTACTGCGAGATGACTTCTTCAGGTGACATGGGGACCAATTCCTAATAGTTTATTTTTTTAGAGGGAAATCTGATTTCTCAGTTCACAAAACATCTCACCACAGGAATCACCTCATTGTCAAAGTAGCATTTCTACAAATATCTATTCTTAAGTCCTGATTGAGAAAATACAGTGAAAATACACACACAGAAAATACAACAACTCATTTTCAGTTCCAATATAAGAGTTAAATGTGCCATGGTAAGCTGTGTACGGGGTTTCCCCAGTGGCTCAGCAGTAAAGAATCCGCCTGCCAATGCAGGAGATTGGGGTTTGATCCCTGGAGAAGGGAATGGTAACCCACTCTAGTTTTCTTGCCTGGGAAATTGCATGGACAGAGGAACTTGGTGGGCTATAGTCCATGGGATCGAAAAAGAGTGGGACACGACTAAGTGACTAAACAACAACAAATTGTGTGTGAGTTATGAAGAAAAGCAGCTCTTACTGGAAAAACTCTGTGGAGATGGGACGGGGATGGCAAAGAACTACCTTAGAAAATAGTCAATTTTGACTGGAAAAGCCCATGAATCACACCATGCCAGGAACAATGTGCCTGTTCAATAGGTCAGTTAAACTTAAAAGTATATACACCGTCCACAAAAAGACTAGTTGGGAGAAATAAACTCGGTCAAAGGACATAAAGTCAAAATAATCATTGCAGTCTCTTACTCAATGTCAAAAATTTTTGTCATCTCTCACCAAATAGCTGTTCCAAATGCAAAAAGGAAAAAAAATCACAACAGTTGATAAAAAGAAAATATTCCAGTATAAAGCCTTGAAGGTTTGCCTCTACAGCTTTCTTTAACAAGGGTTGACATTTGGCATGCTGTCCTTTGATAAACATACCACATACCAGAAACACCACCTCACCTAAAGTGTGGTCTGTAAATCACTCTTAATCCTAAAAGCGCTTTGTTTCACACCAGAGACCAAGACTCTTGCAGACGGGGCTTCAGAGTCCTTGGCTCTCGGCCCTGAATGTGGCCCGTGCGGCGGAAAGCCTCATCAGCCCGCGGAAGCGGTTTCCTTAAGCGGTGTCATGGCTGCAGCAGTCTGCCAAAGACGAGCTGTCCACCCCTTGTGGATGGCTGATTCATCAAATGATTATAAACTATCCTTGGAGCTAAGAGCCAAGGACTGGAGAAGACAAAGAGAGAATGTTCCAGAACATGTAGGATTTTCTACTCAGTGCCCGCTCTTTAAAAACTGTTTTCATTACAGAGGAATTAAGCAG